CACATGAATGAACCTTTAGTTAATTTCATTAAATGTGAATTATATGAATCTGCGTTCTGATATTTTACAATGAATAAGAAATGAACCTTCATTCAGACAATAATAATATTAATAATAAAGAACTGCTTGTGCGGACTGAGTCATGGATGCGGACTCTCCGCAGTCAGGCCCATGTTGCGCAGGATGCGGGTCCGGATGTGCTGCAGTTTGATTCCGTAGATCATCGGGTTGATGAGCGGAGGAATCACCAGACACTCCGCAGCCAGCGCGTTCCGCAGCGCCTGAGGCGCGCTCCCGCTGCCGTAGCGCGAGTACATGACGTCGAACACGGTCGAGAGCGTGAACACGAGGAGCGTGACGAGGTGCGGGAGACACGTCTGCACGAACTTCCGGCGGTCCGAGCGCGAGCGCAGCGAAGCTCGCACCAGGTGAGCGTACGAGACCAGGATGAGTCCGGTCTGAGTCACGTGCGACAACATGAGCACGAAGCCGTACACGTTGTTGACGAGCGTGTCCCCGCCGCAGGACAGTTTCACCACGTCCCAGTTGGTGCAGAACAACTTGTCCAGGTTGCGTCCGCAGAGCTGCAGCCTGGTGGTCAGGACCATGCCCACCATGCTCTCCAGCAACGTGAAGCACCAGGTGAGCAGCAGCAGCTGCGCCACCTTCTGCGGCGTCATCAGAGCCCGGTACTGCAGCGGCCTGCAGATGGCCAGGTACCGGTCGTACGCCATGACGGTTAAACTGGTAAACTCACAGAACATGTAACTGTACGCAACAAACATCTGCATCATGCAGCCCAAGTACGAGATGACATGGGAGTCGGCCAGGAGGTCGTGCAGCAGCTTCGGGTAGAAACTAGACGCTCCGCAGATCCCGTTCATGCACAGGTTACACAGGAAGATGTAGATGGGCTCGTGCAGCGTCTTCTCCACACACACGGTGGCGATGAGCGTCACGTTCACGAAGATGGTGAACAGGTAAGACGTCAACGCCAACGCAAAGTACAGCTGACGGTTGATCAGGGAGTCGTTAAGACCCTGAAGCACGAAGACAATCTCAGAGTTATTCTCCATCACAGGTGCCAACACGTCTGCAACACGACAACACGTCTACAACACGTCTACAACACGTCTACAACACGTCTGCAACACAACTACAACACGACTACAACACGTCTACAACACGTCGACACGTCTACAACATGCCCTCATCAAATCCACTGATACAGAACCAGAAGTTTAACTGAAGAACACCTTTCCTCTGACAACAAGGCCTCACATCTGTCCAGTGTGACGGAACACAAAGTTTCTGCATCAAAAACAAATCAACATCTTCAAACAAGAAAACAGACGCATCACAACATCAGAGCATCTGATCACACAAGTCGTTAATAATCATCACAACCAACAACCACAGACCAGCAGCTGCTCGTTAATCACACGAACCACTGACGGAATGAATGATGTAACAACAGCAGCAGTCACAGCTGAGACACACAGGTGAGACACACAGGTGAGACACACAGCTGAGACACACAGCTGAGACACACAG